GCCATGGGTTCGGATCTCATATAGGGATGACCGGTTAGCTCACTGGCTGAGCGTGGTGCTGACAACACCAAGTCAAGGGTTAAGATCCCCTTACCGGTTATCTTTAAAAAAAAAAAAAAAAAAATTATATCAGGTAAAAATTATGTCAGAAAACATGAAATATTTGGGACTTGTTTTCCCTATTCTTCTGTCCAGTTTGTTGGGAGCCTATAGCCCCACACCCCTTCTTGTGTGACCAGGCCTACGTGACAATCTGCATGTCTGTGCTTATGGGATATCTGCCTCATAATCTGTGCCTGGGACGCTGTGCTCCTGGCTATGCAAGTCTACTCAAGAGTGACCTCTTATCTCCTTTCTAGTTTCTGCTTTCTTGTAAAGATTGGGGGCTTCTTTGCATCAGAGATTTTCTGACTTTGTTTCTTCTCAAGATCTTATCGTATTCCTGCATTCCTAACTCCTTACAATATGCCTGCTTTTTCCTATATAAGATGTAACCTAAGAATCAATAAACAAGACTTGATCAGAATACTGTCTTGTCTCCCATCTCTCGCGTCTCTTGTCCCATCCAATTCCCACTCCCCCCTCCAGGTCTGCGTTGAATATCCTGCGGGTCGGGACACAGTTAGTTGGATTAATCCTAAACAACAAAACAATCCAGTAACTAAGAAAAAAAAAAAAAGAAATCACATGGCAGCAGGGAGGTTGCACCTTCTGAGATGTAACTACCTTTTCCTCTAAGACAATCACTCAAAATTACAGACTATGCATAAGAAGTTTCTTTTATCAATCTCTAAACTCCCAAGTTCACAATTTGATGATTCACCTGAGAGTGGCTCTGCTAAGATACCATGCTGTTTCTTACATTTTTACATACCTACATTTTTATCTCTGCACATGAAATGCCCTAATTCTGAATAAGACCCACTCAGCCTAACCGCCCATCTCTCAATCCCCCTCCTTTCCCTCCCACTTTGGAACTTTCCAGGGCCTGTCCAACTACCTACTTCCTCTACCCAGCCAGGGTTCATTGTTCTGTGTTGGTGTTTCCATATGACACAACATACAAAACCAAAATTTAAATGATTTCCAAAATTGTTTTCTTACCCTACTTCCCTGATCCTTCATGTTACTACTCTGGTTAAAAGTTCCCACAGCCAAAAGCAGTGCTTTTCAAATTACCAGTTGCTGCAGTGGGGTTGTTAAATAAATTTAATGGGTCCTCACTATCATTCCTAAAAACAAAATAAATGGAATAGAATAGAAACTACTAGAGTGCACCACACAAAGTAAGAGTATAATTTTGTGATGTTTTATCATTTATATATAAGCATATTTAGTCACAATGTAAAATTGTATTATCTTTCCAATGTGTCATAACCAAAAAAGCTTGAAATACATCAATCTACAAGATAACCCAGTCTTTCATTTGGTCTACAGGGCTTTCTAACCTGGCTCCTGCATAAGGTTCTAGACCTATCTGTCGCTACAACCAATAGAGCTCAAGCAAATGCAGCTCATCATGCCAAACTTTTTGTAGTTCTCTTAGTGCTGTCATGCTATTCCCTCTGCTTTGAATGCCCTCTCATCTGTCTATGAGGCCCACCTGTACTCATCTCTCAGTATTTAATACCTGTCACCTCCTCCCCAAAGCCTTTTTATCCTTCCCTGAGCAGCTAATGCTATATACATACATGCTTTTTGCCTCTATGTCCTACATTATAGCTCCTTTAACATTTCACTGTACTTATTTTAGGCTCGACTGTCTTCCCAACTACTAACCTATAAACTCCTTGTCAAAAGAGCACACTTTACTAGTTTCCCTATCAGCAGCACCGTGCTCTGTATACACCACATAAAATAGGGGTACAAAGTTGGTAAACTGAACAAATAAAGAATTAAGGACTAATATCTAACTTCTCTGTCGTTAGGAATGATAGGGTGGTTAACTTTGCAACAAAGGCCATTCATATCACAAGCAGTGCTGGATCAAGATTTCCCCATTTTTGTTACAGCTCCTAGATAGCAGAACCTGGCAGCCTGAGGCAGAAAGAGGTGTCAGCTTCCTGTCTTTCAGCAAAGGGTTAGGGTTAGGGTCAGTTCAGGTTCCAATGTAGCAGCACCCACTTCCACACTTCAGGAAATTACCTGGAGAAGGGGATAGAGGGACTCCAGAGGTCCCCACAGGCTATGAGATAAATGAAAAAACATCAACAGACTCCTTTAGCAGCGAGAACCCCATTTTATATATAACGAGCTCTTAATGGGAATAATTCTCTTCCCTTGCCGATGGGACTAGGTTGCCAACATGAGCTAAGTAAAAACAAAAGGCAGTCTGAAATAACTGGTTGAAGTTACCTGATTTCTGTTGTCTACTCTAATTGTTCTAAAATAGCTACTGACTCACTATGAGATTGGGGGTTGTGAGGAGCTGGAGAGTTCATGCCTAACGGGCTCCTCGCTTAGGTTTTGAAGCTTCTAACAGACTTCATCTTACATATGTGAACGCCTTAATTTTTAGGGGGTCTGATACACCTATTCTATAAACCTATTCTTCAGCTGCTATCACTGCAATTAAAAACAGTTCACTCAACATCCAAGATACTTTGACATACTCTGCCAACTGTCAGTTTCAGCTGTTCCTTTCCATTTCCATAGTTCATAAACTATCATTACAGGAGCCATAATTTTTTCTGCTTAAACTAGTTACTCATTTTATTTAAAATATTCCTTTGCTTAGACTTTACCCTAGACTTGCAATTATATCCATAATTAAGGCAAAGATAGATCCTATTATAAACTAACATTAGTCAAAATGTATTTGTAATATGTGAATCTCTTCACACACAATATTAGATTTTAGATACCTGTCAGCGTAAGGTAATTTAGGATTGCTAAACTTTAAAGGCCATTTAAAGCTCTTTTTCCTTTTGTTCTAAGTAGGTCCAGGTGGCTATGCTTATTCCACAAACATTCATTAAGTATAAACATCTACGAAGTGTGGAACTTTCTGCAATGCCTTTGCTGTATGCTCTTCTCTTTTACTTCCACCTACCCTTCCTCTCTCAAGTCATTATCAATGAGAAAGGGTCATAGCCCCAAACATAGACTTTCAGAAAAATAACATCATAAATGTATGCTCCTTTTCCTCTTCAGTCCACCTTTGAGACTTTATTAACAAAAAAGCAAACAGACTCATTTTTAAACAAATTACACTAAGTGTCTAAACGTATGTGTGGGGGACTTACTTTTATATTTTAAATACTAGCCTCCTCGGTATTAAGTTCATCCCAAGCTTCCCTTGAATGACAGGCATTCATGCAACCTAAGTGTTGCGGAAAACTGATTTTTTTCCACTCCACAGTCTAGAGAGAATTCAGCCTTCAACATGAAAAACTGCCTTTTTCTTTCTTTCTTTTTTTTTTATTGCTTCAACACGTTTTAAACAGAGGAGCTACAGATGCTCAAGGGAAGCCATATTCCAAAGGTTTTGAATAGTAGTATATTTCAGTATTTTATCTCACTTAAAATTGGTGCAGTTCATCTGAAACATTTTTTAAATGCTATTATTTTCCAGCTTGAGTGCTTAAACTGCTTAGAGAAAAAAAAACCTCTCTATTTGAAAGATCTACTTCAAGAAACCAACTAGTGATCATTAAAATGGGGAGGAGAAAAATAATTTTTACAGGTTGGGAAAATCTTTAAAAGTCATGTCATCTAAAACAGACTCCATAGAGATTAAGTGGTTTGCTTCAGATCACTAAGCTACTAATAGCAGCACTAGAAATAGAATGAGATATTTTAATTACTCTTAGCAGTACCCCAAATCATGCAAGTTATACATATTCTCGTCATTTGCCATTTAAGTTTTTAAAACAATTATCACTTTCTCATTAATTTCTGAGCAAGGATTCCTACAGCATATATTCTAAATTTTCAAAGTTGTTTAGTTAATTTCAAATTCTAATTTCAACAAGAAGAAAGTACTATCCAAGAACTTTCCTCCAAAAGTTTCGCGTGTGTGTACACACCTAAACCATCACAATAAATTTCAGAGTCCATCTTTTCACTGTCCCCCACCTACACTTCAGATTTGTTTTTGTTCAACTGCAAAAGGAGAAAATTCTGGAAGTTCCTCTTTGACCGAACAGCAAAGGAGCAGAGATTTTTAATCTGTCAGTGAAATTAATAGATCATTACTCCATTACTGTATTATGGGTATTCAGTTTAAATTAGTAAGAGTCACTAGCATTTTATCAAACTACAGTGTGAGGAGTTAATAAAAAGTTGGAAAATGCACTCTTGGTTGGCCTTGGGTCTGAAGGAAGGTGTAGATCTGATAATGTTAACATAAACTGAAGGTCTGAGCCTAAAAGCGAAAAAGAGAAAAGTGAAAAACAAGTTCCTTTAACAAAAAGCCTTTTTCGAGCTGTCTCCTACGAGTGCACCCGCACTATGGAGACCGCATCAGTAAGACTTTCAGATTTTCGTTTTAATGCTCCAAAAATTCAATTCTGTAGATTTTAGCTTTGGATATTCAAGGGCAAAACAGAGGGCACGGTGAGGGCGACAATTTACATTGGATCAATTTCAAGGACTGCTAACCACCCATTACAATCGTTCCTTTGTGCAACTGATTATTCTAAAAGTACTTAAGAGAATGCAGTACTTCTCCTTGAAAGATACCGTCAGCAAAACCTAACATGATTTTGCTTACAAACTGATCAAGCAGTTTAACCATTAAAGTGTAGAATGCGTTGTCTTTGTAAACGTTACTAATAAAACTATATCCAAGTTACAAACAATACACATATGCTCCATTATGACCTCTGCTGTCACTTTACAAAAATAATTTGTCAAAAGGATAGCACACCTATATTTTTAAAGTATGACCAGCTTAGCAAGGTGGCAAATTTGTTTTAAAGCACAAAACACCATCACCATCACCACTCAATAACATACACAAACAGATTCGAAGCTGTGTTGAGCACAAAAATCCTTACCCCATTTTGCCCAGTGGAAACTTGCTCTGAAGTTTCTGCTCGTATGCTACGGAATAACTTCCAAAGAAATTTCTCCGTTTGCTATTTCGCAGTTGCTTTTCAACCCCCCGAGATCCTTTTCCGGAGGTATTTCAATGATGCTGACAATTCAATTAGTTCTCTTAGGTAAAATGATTTCTCTCTGGTAAACACCAAAACGTTCAAACAGAGGTGGCATTTGCTTATTAGAGCTAAAATGCTGCGTGGAGGAGACAGCGGTCAACTCTATTCCACAAAATGAGTCTACATGTAAGAAAACGCAAAATCCAGTTTCACGGAGTCCTATAAAAAAATGAGTTCGCTGGTCATTTCGCTCAGGTCCTCCTCGATACTCAGGGAGACCCAGGTAACTCGGCCTTTTCGGTGCTAAGGCTGCAGGTTCAAATTTCTCCACCACACCAAGTCCCCAGGGGTGGAGCGTGCAACCCAACGCGACGTGCACTTTAATAAAAATCCTGAAAACAGTAATAACGCCACTGCTTCCCTACGTTCACATTAGAAAAAACTATATAGAAAAATCTCCTCGAAGTGCAAACCCGGCAGCTCGCGACGTGCACCGCACTCCACATTGGAATCTGTCTTTTTAATTTTTCCCCTCCTAAGACTCGAAGCAGAGAGGAGGTGTGGAGGAGGAAGAGAAGGCTGGGCAAGATCGATTGATTCTCTCGAGGAGAATAAACGGAGCCATTTCCAGGCTGGCAGCAGCCTGGGGGCGCAGCGCACGCCGGGGAGCAAGGGGAGGGGGCCCGAACCCACCTCCCTCAACCCTTTCCTGCCCCCCGCCGCCGAGCACAATGGAGCCCGGCTCTCGCCCGGCCCTTCATTCGCAGTTGCCCCCTCTTCCCTCCTCTCTTCGGAGCACAGCGGGTCTGAGGCTCCCGTCGGCGGAGAATGAATGAATCAGAGAGCCAAGCCCCACGCTTCCCCCGGCACCTTGTCCCGAGCTCCGGGGCGGGCCGAGCAGCGAGTGGAGGGGGCTAAGGGTCGACGGGCGCCCTCCCGAGCTGAGGCGGGAGGCTAACCCCACGTCAGGGGCAGGAGAGCGGGTCTCAAAGCCTTGGGAGAGCCGCCGCTCCAGCGCCCCCACCCCTGCAGCTCGTCTCACGCTCCGCACCGCCGCCACGAGCCGCCTCACATTCCCCGGGCCCCGCCGCCGCTTCCTCACACTTCCATAGGCGCCCGCTTCCGCCGGCCTCCAGCTCCCGCTAGTCAGAGCAGCGCCGGCCCGCGCGGCCAGAAGCCCGCCGCTGCCTCAGCCACCAAACGGCCGGCTCGCAGAGCGGAGGGCGCCGCTTCCCGATCAGCGCCGCCGGCGTGAGGGGAGCGCGACGGCTGAGCGGGCTGCGAAGGGGGGCCGGGGGAAGAGGCGGGGAGAACGGGAGGCGATAGCGGTCCCTCCCCCTGCACGCGGGAGGGAGCGATAAGGGGCGGGAGGCGGCAGTCGTCGCCGAGGAGCCGGGGCTGGGGCTCTGACCCGTCCCGCGGGCCCAGCGGGCCCTGAAGGCAGCAAGAGAAAGCAGCGGCCACGAGACGGCGGGGAGGCTGGTAATCAGGGGCAGAGCCGGCCCTCGTGGGGAGTGGGCCAGCTGGCAGGTCCGTCAGTCCGTCCTTCCTTCCTTTCCCCCCTCCCCTAGTGGCCGGCGGCGGGCGGACAGTGCGCTCTGCTCCTCCGCTGGCTCCTGGCCCCGCTCCCGGCTGCCACAGCCTCCTCCACGACCCACACCAGGTGTTCGCTCTGTGTCTCCATCCTCCCCGCAGGAGGACCTTTAAATAGCAACGTCAGCGCGCTCCTCTCCGCACACGCGTCACCCGCCGCTTACGTCACGGGGTGCGGGGGATGATGTCACGCGGCCGGAAGTACTGCTAAATTAGGGAAGGAGTAGGGGGAGGAGGACTCGGCGAGCTCCTCTGTGCCCACCTGCTCTCGCTTCTCCTTAAAGGCCAAAGCGCAGGAGACAGCCTGAGAGGAGCTCGAAGGAGGAAGCAGCAAGAGGAGGAGATTTCTGTGCAACAAAAGTGCCAAACACAAGTGAGTCATTCATGGCAACAGTGCCGGAGTGTCATGCGGGTAATATCCTATCTTCCACTCCCACCCCTGTTGCAGCAGCATCCCCTGGCTTCTCATGTCCCAGCTAGCAGGGAAATGTGGGAGGGAGAGCCTCATAACTAGTGGTAGATATACTACCAACAAAACTTGGGGAAAATCACCTTAATTTTCGAAAGAGTTATTAAGTGCCATTCTGGATATAGCCAATTTTTAAACTTTTTTCCCCTCTCTCTTAGTGGTTACCTAAATCACAAAAGAATAAAGAACGGAGCAACGAACATTATGTTATAAAGGATAGTAGTTAAAGGGGAAGAAGGCCATCAAATGATCTAAATATTTTCATTTGCAAAATAACGATGTTGTGGCCTAGGATAAAGAGTCAATCTTAACTGAACACACTTAGATAATTGTCACAATATATGTAGAAAATACCAGTGTACTTTTCAGTTCCGGGTTATCAAGAATATAAGTTCCTGTCTGTGGAAATTAAAAATAAGAAAGACCGCCAGATCCTTTTTTATTGAAACAAGCACATTTAGATTATTTTTGTCTTAGTTTTGCCCATGTAATATATAATTACAATATCTTTTGTTTTTAATTTCCTATATAGCAAGGGAGAGTAGTCATTTATAGGTTTACCAACTATGCATGGGTTTGTGTCTATGAAAATCATATTATGAATGCTTCTCAAGTTGTAAATTACTACAAAGTTTTTTGAAGTCCTCATTATTTTAGGATAGCTAATTATTAGGTAGATGAGGTTTGATTTTATTTGGTTTAACTTGATGTTCATTGCCCCCAAATAGAATTACTACATAATGCTAAAGGCCATTACTAGTTCAGAGTTAGCCTATAAATTCAGTAACCATGTTTTCCAAACCCAAATCCAGACACACCATTTGACAGACAAAATATTTAAAATCTGAAATGACCTGGAAAATGCAGGACATAGGATTGCCAACCTATGAAGTGTTAGGAGAGTTATAAATCAGTATCAATGCAATTTAAGTAAAAGAAACTAAAACTCTGTCTAATATGTACCATGTATGGTTTTTGAAAAATGTTTTTAATGTTAAACTGCTCACATGATTTCTAATAAGGAACTTTGGTTTTGGTGGTTTCTGCGTTTACATTTTCTTACTCAAGTTAGGAGCCCAAGTTTAAAGGACACCAGCAAAGAAAGACCAATTTGCAACTGATTCAGGCTTTCTGGTTATGTTCACATTATGAAATCATGATCTTGGTTACAGTTTGAATTATTAAAAGTAGTGTTTTTTTTTTTAAGGTTACAACAAGGTTAATGAAAAGTAAACCCTGCTTGCCAATTTGTTTAGTAATAATATAAATAATTATATTAATAGATATTTTATATTATATTTATATTTCAGACAATTGGATCTTCTTATGTATAAAATATCAAAACAATAAAAATTGTCATTTTTTAATTGTCATCCCTTGGCCCCTGCAAATGAAAATACAAATTATGTCATTCACTTAAATTTCTTTACAATTTTCTATCTGAGCTAAATAACTTTCTCCCTTTCCTGCTCGTTGCCCCCATGTTAATTAAAGCTTTCATTTTACCATTTTCAAACAATTCATTCTACATTTTCATCACAACTTCCTCTCGTTTACAGTCTTTTTTCCCTATCTTTATCCAGCTGTCAAAACAGCTTGTCGTCTTGCCTCCCTGCCTTTAGAATTCTGACTCTTCATTAGAGTTTCTGCTTTTCTCAGCTGCTTTTTTGTCAACTGAAAATTGAGAGCAACTTTTTTTCTACGTAAATCTAAAGGTGCTCTGTCATATAATTACTCGGAGTTTATGTGATTATTTAGCTTCAGTCTGTTCTCTTAATCTAGAAAATTCTGCCTATAATTGGTCAGTTTTTCTTTCTAGTTTGTGTGGGATTAGTATATCAGGAAGTACATGTGTCCATGTATCCAAAGGAATGAGTAAAACTTTGAAACATTTTATGTAATATAGAATGACTTCTCAGAATGAATAAACAAATAAATGAATAAGTGTCTTTTCTACCCCCTTGAAAGAATTCCAAAACAGTTTTGAGAGGAGTCAGAGAATCATGCTGTGGCTTTCCATAGAAAAGTAAATTTCTTTTCTGCTAGAATCATGAATTTCCAACCTTGATTTCTTTGTATGTTTTTTTGAAGTAGTGAGCTTCCTAGAAAGTAATGTATTTCCTTTTACCGGAAGAGGAAGAAAGTACTTTAGTAGAGTTTCAAATTTTTAACAGTTCCTGTTTCCCACTACACTGTGAAAATTTGTGGGGCGGTTTATGAATACCCTCTGATTTTAGAATCTGTGGGCGAAGGCATCTGTTTTAGTTGGAGTTTACTTCCATGCCCTTAATAGGAGATGGCAGTCTTCAATGGGGTGTTCATAGACTGGTCATGAGATATGTCTTTTTCAATGAAAAGACATCTATGAGAAAAACTTTGCAGGAAACAGAGTTAAGGCCAGATTTTCTTTTTAACTGCCTAATGTTAAATAATAACAACTCCCTTTTAAGCTCTCTCTTTTTAATTACCAAAATACCACTACTGCTTCAAAGTAATAGAATTAATAGGTAAAAAGCTGTCTCTCCGTAAAATAGAAATCTCGAGATTCCTAGTTTATGACACATAGTAATGAAGAAACTAAATAACCAGCAAAGACTAAAAGTAATGATAAGAAAAGAATGAAAGTTGTAGGGAAATAGAATTTATCCAGTTGACTCTCCAAAATCATTCTACTTCCTCCACAATGTAGCAGATAGATACTAGGCACCATTAAATTGTGTTTGACCTGTATAAAACCATCTCTTATTATTATCAGTAATATTCTGAACAGAAACAGGTAATTAAACACTCTCAAGGATGTTTGGCATCTCCAAGGCAATGGCTGAAGACAATTTTTATTCTTCCGAGTGTCTGCACTTTTTTATCAGAGTGGAGGGAGGGAGGTTAGAGAATTATCCTTAGGAAAAACTATGATATAGAGCCATGGGAAATGATCTGATAGAACTATTTCCTGCTATGATTTTTACTGTAAATTTATTGTTTTCCAAATATGGTCAAAGGGGTACAAATATAATCCTAGACTTGTGAAAGAAGATAACAAAGTTCTCAGGTGCTGTTGAGGGCCTGGATAGAACAAAATTAGAGGAAATTGATGGAGGATATTATTGTACAACTCTATATGTAAATTTTTAAAATATTTGAAGAGATGGGGATATTCTGTCTTTGAAACAGTTATCTGGCTTTCCTTTAGGTTGTTGGTTTGGTTGGTTGATTGATTGTTTTAGGCAGCAGATACAGAGAACAGGCTGGGAAAATATGCAGATCTGCAGAAAACCACAGTAAAGAACATTGAGTAAAGCTTGTGCTGTACCTGTGCAGTTACTTAGATTGGAATTCTGTGGAAGCTGATTGCCATGGTAACCAATAATCTTTTTCCTGAATGGGGAAACAGAACAGCCATGAGGAAAATGTTTTAAATGAGCTTCCTTATTTTGTGATTCTTTTGGTGCCAGCTAAGAGAAAAACAACACCCAAGGTATTTAGGACAGCCATGCTTATGAAGGGAAGTTGCCTTCTTTTCAAAGAGGCAAGGCTGAAGCAGAAATTCTGGACTATTTCAAAGAAAGATGGGTCTTTAAGATGCAATTGCAAACTCTCTGAAGAACAACATAATTGGTAAAGACTCTGATATGGCTAAAGCAGGCAGAAGCAATACCTAGAACCTGTGTTAAAAGTTCTCCCAAGCAAAAGAGGTCATAAATAAAGATTCTCAACATTTGGGGGTTTCAGCCAAACTCTTTTATGAGTTATTTGTGGGGCTTTTTATTTCTTTTAATCTGGTTCTAAATAGTAATTTCTTTAAATATTAAAATGGCAATGGAAAATATCTGTATTAATTAGGGTTTTGTAGAGAAACAGAACCAATATGATATCTATAGAGAGAGATGGATATATATCTATACTTAGATA